GTTGTTGTTGTAGTAAGTAGTAGTAGTAGTAGTAGTAGTAGTAGGAGTAGCAGTAGTAGAAGAAGAAGAACCAGTAGCAGTAGCAGTAGTAGTAATAGTAGCAGCAGCAGCAGCAGGAGTAGTAGTAGTAGTAGTAGTAGTAGTCGTCGTCGTCGTAGTAGCAGTAGTAGTAGTCGTCGTCGTCGTAGTGGTAGTCGTGGTAGTCGTGGTAGTAGTGGTAGTAGCAGTAGCAGTAGCAGAAGCAGCAGCAAAATTCCGAACTGTATGGAGTGTCCGCGGCGAGTCGGGGGTATCGGGTGTCGCGCCTGATGGCCCAGGGATTTCGCTTAGGAGTTCTTGGTGGATTTGGTGTTCAGTTCATGTTTCAAGCGATACATAGCCTAGGCTTAGGGGTTTAGGGGTTTAGGGTTTAGGGTTTTTTGGTTTAAAGCTTTGACTTCTGGTTTCATGGACGTATGATACAGTCAGTACGGCAGGTTGGGACAGAGTGCACCAGAACCCGCTAGGCTAAAACAGAATCGCTTCCCCGATGGAGGCCCTATGATGCTTGAAATAATCTAAGGTGTGGAGTTTGGTGGAACCCTAAACCCCGAACCTTGAGCCTTGAGCTCTAAACCCTAAAACCTAAGCCCTAAATTCTAAACCCTAAAACCCTAAACCCTATAAACCCTAAAGCCCTAAAGCCCTAAAACCCTAAAGCCCTAAAGCCCTCAAGCCCTACGCCCTGAACCCCGAAACTGGTGTGGAGTTTGGTAGCCTCCTGGAGTCTGGACTTCAGGATATGGGTTCTTTGTTCCGTTGCTTGTTTAGGTTTGAGTTTAGGGTTTAGGGTTTAGGATTTATAGGAAGTAGGGTTTGGGATTAGGGTTTATTAAGGGACCCCTAGAAGGGACCCCTAAGCCTCAACACCCTATATAACCCTTATATAACCTTTATATCGGGTTTCCGAAAATAGGGGACCCTAGTATAGCACCCTAAATAGTAGGATCCTTATGATAAGGACCCCCAACTAAGGTACCCTAATTTTCGGAAAGTCCCATATCGTCTCATAAAGCCCCTATTTATAACCCAAGGGTCTCTACTTTAGTCCCTTGAGTTTAGGGTTGGGTTTTAGGGTTTAGGGTTTAGGGTTGGGTTTTAGGGTTTAGGGGTTTGGGGTTTATAGGAAGTAGGGTTTGGGGTTTAGGTTTTATAGGAAGTAGGGTTTGGGGTTTAGGTTTTATAGGAAGTAGGGTTTAGGGTTTAGGTTTGATAGGAAGTAGGGTTTGGGGTTTAGGATTGATAGGAAGTAGGATTTGGGGTTTAGGTTTATGGTTTATGGGTTTGGGGTTTAGGTTTAGGATTTATAGGGAGTAGGGTTCGGGGTTTAGGGTTTAGGGCTCATAGAGTTTAGGATATTAGGGACCAAGTAAACGTAGTGCTTGCGATTGACCCCAAGCCACGACGTTCAATCACAAACCCTGAACTCTGAACCTTAAACCCTAAACCCTAAACCCCTAAACCCTGAGCCCTAAAGCCTAAATTCACAAACCCTGAACTCTTCACAACCCGATTATCTTCCGGAGCGTTTACCTCCGCGGTCTGGGATGTTTTTGATCTGAGTGCTTTGAAGTTGTTGGACGCTCTGGGCTGCAATATGCTCGAACAAGATGTGCTTTTTCGTTTCATCACTGCTTTCTTCTTTTTTTTTGCTTCGGGGCACATAGCAACCCTGAGGGCTTACCCCTAAACTCCCAAACCCTAGACCCTAGTCCCTCTAGTTTAAACCCTAAACCCTAAACCCTATTTAAACCCTAAGCCCGACCCAGGGGCTTGGGTTGGTATGGGATTGCGCATGGTCTTCATGGATTTTCGTCGGGTTCAAACGATCCTTGCAAGTTTAGGGTTTAGGGTGTATACGGTTTGAGGCAAATAGTTTGGAACATTTCCGCAATGCTTCGTATCTGGAGACCTTCTGGGCAAGAACTGGCCACCTTTAACGCAGAGCAGTTCGAGCATGCAGCAGCTTTGAAAGAACATGTGTGTGAGCATTATGGCTTCCCTGTGTATCTGCAGCAGCTGTTACACGACGGTAGTCTCTTGGCTGATGATGCAAAGCTGGATGGCCTCATGGATTTGCAACTGGTCTTAATGAGCATCTCCGGACCGCAACTGTTAGCTGAAGAACATCTGTCAAAGGCTTCGCGCACAAATCACGTTAAAATCGCCCGCTCCTTGCTGGAAGCTGGTGTTGAAAGAGATTGTCGGGACAGCAACGGCTGCACAGCCCTGATGCGGGCATGTGAGAGTGGCCACTTGGAGGTTACACGCGTGCTGCTGGAAGCTGGTGCTGGCAGAGATTGCAGGGACAGTCATGGCAGGACAGCTCTGATGCGGACATCTAAGAATGGCGACTCGGAGATTGCACGTTTGCTTCTGGAAGCTGGGGCGGGCACGGATATCTGGGACCACTACAGCAAGACAGCCCTGATGCTCGCATGTGGAAGTGGTCACCTGGAGGTTGCCCGTTTGCTGCTGGAAGCTGGCGCTGACAAAAAGGTGTGCGATCGTGACGGCAGGACAGCGCTGATGTGGGCATCTGATAATGGACATTCGGAGGTTGCACGTTTGCTGGAATCTGCTGCTGCCGAGACTGCTGGGACGGCCGAGGCATGACAGCCCTGCTCATTCAGGCAAAAAGCGCCGCCTAGCCGTATGAGATATAAACCCCACACCAAACCCTAACCCTAAGACCCTCGACAGCGCTGAATCCTGCGTGCGGTCCATGCCTAAATCCCAAGCGCAACTCATCCAACAACGCAAACCTGAACCCTATACCCACTCTTAACCCTAAGCTGGAAGTACCGTAAACGCTGAACCCTCAACCCGCGTCACCAAACCCTAACCCTAAACCGTAAAACCTAAACCCTATACATCTTAAACCCTAAACATCCCTAAACCTCAAGCCCTAAACCTTAAACCCTAAACATCCCTAGACCTCAAGCCCTAAACCCTAAACCCTAAACATCCCTAAACCTCAAACCACTTCAGACTCTAAACGATGCAGCTCGGCCTTTGTCTCTCTTGCGGTGGGATCTAAGGAGCACATTACAGGGAGGTGGGGTGGGGTGTTTAGGGTTTAGGGCACAGGGTTTAGGGTTTAGGGTTTAGGGATACAGGGGTCGGAATGACATTTACTGATGTCTCCTCATAATTCCTATTATACCCAGACCCCCGGGAGGATCTCGAAAGCAGATCCACTAGTTTGAAGGACCCTATACTACTAAGTGGTACTTCACAGGAACCCCCGTAAGGCATCAACTTTTTGGCCGGGGATCCGGCTATGTCGCTTAAGCGGTGTACTACGTACGATAGACGTTCATGCCCCGATACTTGAGCTTATAATAAATCCCCGGGCCCATGAAATTTTTATGCGACCCTACGCTAAGTATCAAGGACCTCCTTAGGACCCCCCATACTCCGAACTATCTCAAACTCGAAAAAGCGCCTTACTTGTCAACACCGTAAGACCCTTTGTAGAACCTTATTCTAAGTATCAAGGCCCTTATACTAAAACTCCAAAACCCTGGCGTTTACAACCCCTTGCAGAATATTCAACCCATATATGGGTAGTTCTCTAAAATATGGTCCCTTTTGGGGTCCCCAATATAGTACGGCACCCCTATGAAAAGGGACCCTAAAAAGGGACCCTAGTGTAGAAACTACCTATATGGAACCGTCTAGGCGAATAATTGCCTGGATCATGTTCGGGTTCCTTGTTCGGTTTAGGGTTTTGGGGTTTAGGGTTTAGGGGAACGGTTTAGGGTTTGTTTAGGGTTTATAAGGGTTTGGGGTTTAGGGTTTACGGGTTTTGGGTTTAGGGATAAAATGCCCCCCCAAAACCCGATTCTAGTGACTAGGGCCCTAAGATTATTTGAGATTGCATCCTGCCGTCACAGAGAGAGGCCGCCCTTTCTGCACGTGTATCTTCGCATTGGTGATATCCTAAGCTAAGGGTTCATGTGCCCAGGGTAAATGGGCCCTTAGGGTAAGCAAAGGGTTCCTATGGAGGGCTCCGGCTCATACACGGTAAGGGTTTTCATAGGGTCCAGGGTCCATACACGCCGAAAGCATGTACTCCTAAACTTAAGGCGAGAGTACATGCCACATGATGGGTTCATGGACTACGGCTGCTCTTCTTGCAGTCTTGACAGCACGAGTGCTTCATCAGATTGCCAGTAGAGAGAATTCGGGCTGAGGCAAAGATAGGTTTCTAGCCTTGCCAGGGAAGCAGCATGCCTTGGCACAGCATCAGTGACTTTTCAAGGTCCGGGGACTTCGTACATAGTCATTGCATAGTGTTGTACGTAGGATAGTTAATCAGGAGTAGCATCCCTTTTGCAGAACTTATAATTCTTCTTATTTCTTGTTTATACTAAGCCCCCGACCCTCCAACCATCTACCACGCAGCTAGAGACTCTGCAATGCTTCGTGTCTGGAGACCTTCTGGGCAAGAACTGGCCACCTTTAACGCAGAGCAGTTCGAGCATGCAGCAGCTTTGAAAGAACATGTGTGTGAGCATTATGGCTTCCCTGTGTATCTGCAGCAGCTTGTACAGGACGGCAGTCTCTTGGCTGATGATGCAAAGCTGGATGGCCTCATGGATTTGCAACTGGTCTTAATGAGCATCTCCGGACCGCAACTGTTAGCTGAAGCAGGGACAGTCATGGCAGGACAGCTCTGATGCGGACATCTAAGAATGGCGACTCGGAGGTTGCACGTTTGCTTCTGGAAACTGGTGCGAGCAACGATTGCAGGGACGGTGATGGCAGGACAGCCCTAATGCTTGCATGTGAGCGTGGTCACTTGGAGGTTGTACGACTGCTGCTTGAAGCTGGCGCTGAGAAAGATTGCTGGGACCATATCGGCATGACAGCCTTAATGTGGGCATCTGTCGGTGGCCATGCCGAAGTAACACGCTTGCTGCTGGAAGCGGGTGCTGACAAAGATTTCAGGGACCATGGCGGCATGACAGCCCTAATGTTCGCATCTGGGAGCGGTCGCGTAGAGGTTCTGCGATTGCTGCTGGAAGCTGGTGCTGATAGCTGTGAGCATGACAGCCCTACAGTGAACGGCCCTATGGAGTTCTGGATCTAAAGGTCTTCCATTTGCTACGGCAAGCTTGTGCTGGCGACAGCAGCGACACTGAGCCAAAAAGCGTTGTACGTCCTTAGGCTGCAAGCCCACTCCCCACACGGGGTGTAAAGCCCTCCCTTTAAACAGGCCCGCGCATGGAACGCGTAGAGACCGAATGCAAGTTATGGAGGGTCGGGGGACGGTGTAAGTGGGGTGCTTCGCAGGGTAACTACGTAAACCCTGAACCTACATTTTACAACTCTGCTTACTTATCCTCCGACCCTTCAGGTACAGGGTTTAGGATTTAGGGTTTAGGGTTTAGGGCTCTGTCCAAGGAGTCGGAGCAAGGAGTAAAGGGCGGATGTCGCAGTGTGTGAGCAGGAAACCGTCAGCCTTGAACAGTAAACGCAGTTATCCGAACCTAAACCCTACCCATAGGCTCCTAGTGTAGTTCCTTTTTGTGGTTTATATTTAGAATCCTATGAGGTAATCCCAATAAGGAATTACTTAGGGGCCTATGGGTATACCTTACAGTTCTATTTCCAGGGTTGTGCAGGCTTCAATCGTCGCATTGTATGGTTCAGAGCTCTAGAGTACGCAAGGTTTCGTTTTCTTTTCGGGTTTCCTGAAGCCTGGACAGGGGGAAAAGTAATCCGTTTCTTCTAGGCACAACCTGGTAACTAGAAATTTGCACAAGGTGCCACAACCAGGCAGAGAAGCTTCTAGAGTCTGCCTGAAAGCCTATGAGGTCGTACGTTAGCCATAAAGCTTGGAATGAAACCCTAAACCCTAAACCCTACCCCAATCCTATATCTTGAAGGGGAAAGTGTTCTGACCATGCCCATGTTTAGACTCCTACTGCACGAATCCTACAAAGCCCTTAGAAAACACAATCACACGAAACGGCTTCTTCAAATTTGAATCACCGCTTGTAGTCGAATCCGCGTAAAGAAACCCGAAAGCCTCAACCTTAAACCTTACAAACCCCATATCCCCTGAACCCTAAACCTCTAGGCCCCTAAACCCCTAAACCCTAAATCCTGAACCCTAAGCCCCTAAGCCCCTAAACGCCTAAACCCTGAACCCTAAACCCTAAGCCCTACACCCGGAGCCTCGAGAGGTGGCGATTTCAGAGCTCTTGGAGGGCGGAACTGGAGCAGGGCGAGGTCTGTGCAAAGGGGGGGAGGGGGGGGCGGGTTAGGGTTTAGTGGGAGAGTTTCTCTGGACTGCTCCTTCAGCATTTAGCTCACATCTGCCCAATTTAGGATTTAGGGTTTGGGGTTTAGGGTTTTGGGGTTTAGGGTTTAGGGCCTGTTTAGGGTTTTGGGTTTAGGGGCCCTATACCCTAAAACCTTATATAAGCCCTAAACCCAGGATCCTTCAGGCCGCTTCAATCCACGCAGAAAGCAGCAAAGCGCCTCGACATCTGAAGCCCGGGCTGTTTGGAAGGGGGTGCACGGGTGGGATGAAGCTACCCATAGGCCCCTAAGTAGTTCCTTTTGGTGGTTTATGTTTAGAATCCTATAAGGTAATCCCAAAAAGGAGCTACTAAACTACTTAGGGGCCTATGGCGAGGTGGGGTAATCCGAAAATGACAAATCCAGAGCATCCGAAGATACTACTGTTGATGATATAAATCCTGCATGACCCTGAAGTACCCTAAGCTATGGGAATTATGGGTATATTCCTTATTGCAGGATCTATACCATCAACCGTGCCATCATGGACCTGATGGAGGTAGAGACCCCCCAGAGACCATGCCATTCGCTTTTTTGGGGGGACCTCCTTCCTTCAGTATATGGGCCCTCTTGGGAGTCCTCACAGAAGGGGCACCTAAACCCTGAACGCTAAACCCCTAAACCCTAAACCCTGAACCCTAAACCCCTAAGCCCTAACCCCTAAACCCTAAACCCCTAAACCCCTAAACCCGAAACCCTAAGCCCTAAACCTCCCACCTAGCTTCATCCCACTTTTGGATTCGGCCTTGGGCTAGAGCCAGGGGTCGGATTCCTTGGTGACTTGAGTTTCCCAGACCCTGCCTTCAATGGGTTGTTGCCTTCGCGACATCTGCTCACTGCCGTGTAGCCACTATCATGGCTCACTCACAGTTTAGGGTTTAGGGTTTAGGGTTTAGGATGATCAGGATGCTCCTCATGCTGCATCCACCCCCCCCCCCCATCAGGAGGGGAGGAAAAAGAAAGGCTGGTGAGCGTGTGCATACAATTGCCCTAAGGGTCAAAGTATTCATTATTTAAGGACTTTGGGGCCTTTATGGGTACCCAAAACCATGAATAAGGACTACTTGGACCCTTAGGGTTGGTCAACAAGGAGCTCCATCCGGCGACTTCGGTAGTGCACTTAATGCCATGTCCCGAATGGGAGCTTCTGGGTTTAGGGTTTAGGGTTTAGGGTTCTGCACCTTCCAATGATCTTGTTTATCGAGATCCAATGCTGGGAAGGGGTCAGGTGACCTCATTGCGTGACACAGTTCGCATCTCAAGCATTTACGGGGTAATGCCACCCAGACATCACACACAGTTGATCAGGAGGTTGGGTACTGCTACAAAGCCTCTCCCGGTGATCGTCTTCCATGGCAGCGATGCTCGGAAACTAACACCTCATGCCCAATTGGCGTTTATGATCTGTTAGGGCTTAGGTTTAGGGTTTGGGGCTCAGGGCCTAGGGCTTAGGGCTTAGGGCTTAGGGTTTGGGGTTTGGGGGTTTAGGGGTTTAGAGGTTCACGGTTTAGGGCTTAAGGTCTACATTTCATGCCTGTGGCTTATTGGGGAAGCAACCTACTGTCTCTCCTCGGGTCGGGTTCCTCAAAGACTAGAACATACCCCCCCCAACCCTGTTCTACGGTTGATCTGAATCCTGCATTACCCATAACAAGGAATATACCATAATTTCCA